CAAACCCTAAACCCTAAACCCTAAACCCTAAACCCTCGACACAGCTGGCTAGCTGCTGTTAGAGTGGACAAGCAGCTGTGTGACTTCGGCTAGCAGCAGCAGCTAGCAGCAGCAGCCAGCAACATCAGCTAGCAGCAGCAGCTAGCAGCAGCAGCTAGCAGCAGCAGCCAGCAGCAGCAGCTAGCAGCATCAGCTAGCAGCATCAGCTAGCAGCAGCAGCTAGCAGCATCAGCTAGCTGCAGCAGCTAGCTGCAGCAGCTAGCAGCAGCAGCTAGCTGCAGCAGCTAGCAGCACCAGCTAGCAGCAGCAGCCACCAGCAGCAGCTAGCAGCAGCAGCTAGCAGCAGCAGCTAGCAGCGTCAGCTAGCAGCAGCAGCCAGCAGCAGCAGCTAGCAGCAGCAGCTAGCAGCAGCAGCTAGCAGCAGCAGCTCGCAGCAGCAGCTAGCAGCAGCAGCCAGCAGCAGCAGCTAGCTGCTGCGTAAGGAATGTTGAAGACATGCGCAGACTAACCAACAGATCCGGTGTCTTGCTTCCTTTTTATTTATTTTATTTATTTTATTTATTTTATTTTATTTTATTTATTTTATTTTATTTTATTTATTTTGTTTTCTTTGATTTGTTTTCTTTTTATTTTCTCTTTATCTCGTTTTGCTGCTTTTGCTGCTTTTCTCTCTTCACCTTCTTCCGGGCTGTGTGTGAAATCCTAAACCCCAAACCCTAAACCCTAAACCCTAAACCCTAAACCCTAAACCCTAAACCGTAGCGCTGCGCTGCCTTTGCGTCTGCTTCTCACCCTGCCTATCCCTGCAGCAGCTACAGCAGCAACTGCTGCTGCTGCTGCTGCTGCTGCTGGTGCTGAATTGCTGCTACGATCGAGCACATGTGTACAAATTAAGCAGCAGCAGCAGCAGCTGCTGCTGCTGCTGCTGCTCGCTATAACAAGTTCCCAAGACACTGCATCTTTGTTGCAACAACTGCATCAGCAGCAGCAGCAGCTGCTGCCGTTGCTGCTGCTGCTGTTGCGCTGCTGCTGCTTGAATGGCGGCTGCAGCAGAAACGCCTGGAACTGCGGCACCCCAGCAGCAGCAGCAGCAGCAGCAGCAGCAGCAGCAGGGCTCAGGGCTCTGCGCACTGCTGCAGCTCGGAGTGTATAGACAGCGCAGCAGCAACATTGAGGCCACAAAGTTCTTCTTCTATTATAGAGTGTGGGGTTTCTTCGAGGAGCTGCGGCAGCAGCGGGAGGTGTGCATAGACTTCAGCAGCAGCACGTGCTGCAGCAGCAGCAGCAGCCAGCTGCTGCAGCACGTCCAGCCAGCCCTGCTGCTGCACCCAGCCGGGCGGCAGCAGCTCCCGCTGCTGCGGCGTCAGCTCCAGCAGCAGCTGCTGCCGCTGCTGCTGCGCAGGGATTTGCTGCAGCAGCAGGCCTTCAGATATTGCATAAAAGTAGTGCTGCTCGTGCTGCGCTGCTGCTGCTGCGCCCTTCTCCCCAGCAGCAGCAGCAGCAGCAGCAGCAGCAACAGCAGCAGGCACCGTATCTCTGCAGGGGCACCTCTCTGCGAACTGCTGCCCGAAGCCGCAGTCGACGTGCGCAGTGTTGGCAGCAGCAGCAGCAGCAGCAGCAGCTGCTGCTGCTGCTGCAGACGAAGCATCAGCAGCAGCAGCAGCAGCAGCAGCAGAGTCCGGCAGCACCAACTCGCAGTGCTGCTGCCAGCCCAGCAGCTGAGGAGCAGCAATTAAAAATGCTGCTTGTCTTGGCCAGTCAAAAATGTCGCTGCAGGAAGCAAAAAGGAGCTTCCGCTGCTGCTGCTGCTGCAGCGGCTCCAGCTGCAGCAGCTGCTGCTCCTGCTGCTGCTGCTGCTGCTGCTGCTGCTTCTTCTCCTTGCTCTTCCCTTTCTTGTCGCGTTTCTTCTTGCTGCTGCTGCTCGCGCCGTTCACAGCGTCCCCGCTGCCGCCGGCGCCGCTGCTGCTGCTGCTGCTGCTGCTGCTGTCAGCAGCAGCAGCAAAAGACTCTGCTGCAGCAACTCGCAGGAAAACATCCAGCAGCAGCCGCGTGCTGCTGCTGCTGAGGTTTGGGCAGGCCCAAAGGGCCTGCAGCTGCCGCTCTTCATTTTCGAGGATTTCTACCAAAGCCCCGCAAACCACAAGTCTTTTTAGCTGCCCCCCTGCTGCTGCTGCTGCTGCTGGTGCTGCTGCTGCTGCTGCTGCTGCTGCTGCTGGGGCTGCTGCTGCTGCTGCGGCTGCTGCGGAGCCGGCGCCGGAAGGCGCCGCACACGACTCTGAAGAGGCACCCGCAGCCGCTGCCTCCTGCTGCTGCTGCTGCTGCTGCTGTTGCTGCTGCTGTTGCTGCTGCTGCTGCTGCTGCTGCTGCAGGCGGTACTTGTCCGTCAGCAGCAGCAGCCAGAAGCCTGAGAAGGTCTCTTCTCTTAAGGCGTCCTGGAGCGAGCGCAGCTTCCTGCGCTGCAAGCTGCTGCAGGCCTTTCTGCTGCTGCTGCGGCCCGCAATGACTGCAGCAGCAGCAGCAGCAGCTGCTGAAGCAGCAGCAGCAGCAGCAGGGGACGGCGCTGCAGGGGCCGCAGCTTCGCCGCTGCCGTCGGACTCGCAGCCGTCCTGCTGCTGCTGCTGCTGCTCCGCCGCCTCCTGCTGCACCTTCTCCGCAGCTGCTGCTGCTGCTGCTGCTGCTGCCTCCAGCACTGCAGCAGGAACCCGCCGCGTGGGGTGTACAGACGGCAGCAGCTGCAGCGGCAAGCTGCTGTTTCTGCTGCTCTGAGGTGTATTGACATCAGACAAACAAAAAGACAAGTTTTCCGCAATGCGGCGGGGCAGGTGTTCGCGCAGGTTGCGCAGCTGCTGCTGCTGCAGCGCAGCAAGCGCGGGCTCCTGCTGCTGCTGCTGCTGCTGCTGCTGCTGCTGCTGCTGCTTGCTGCTGCCCCTGCTCTTGGGGGAAAGCTCAGGTGTATAGGCAGCTGCCACGGGAATCACCTTCAGCGTCAGCCGCTGAGCAGCAAAAAGTGCTGCTGCTGCTTTCCGCAGCAGCAGCAGCTGGCTGGGGCCCCACGCCGGAAGGAACGGAGCTGCTGCTGCTGCTGCTGCTGCTGCTGCTGCTGCTTCCTCTCCCGCTGCAGCAGAAGACGGAAGCGAGGGGCAGGAACTGTGAGTCGCCGTCTCGGCCTGCTCACTGGCAGCTGCTGCTGCTGCTGTTGCTGCTGCTGCTGCTTGCTGCTGCTGCTTCTTCGACTGCAGCAACGAAGGCTGGTCTGAAGAAGGAGCGCCGCTGCGCTTCGGCGGACGACCGTGTTGAGTCATTTGCTGCTGCTGCTGCTGCTGCTGCTGCTGCTGCGGCTGCCGCTGCTGCTGGAACCCTTGAAGCCGCTTCTGCTGCAACTAATGCTGCTGCTGCTCGCTCGCGGCTGCAGCAGCAGCAGCAGCAGCAGCTACTGCGGAAACGGGAGATGCAGCGTCTGGGCTGTGGGGTGCACCGGCCACTGATCTTCAGCTGTTGCTGCAGATGCTGGCGCTGCTGCTGCTGCTGCTGCTGCTGCTGCTGTTGTCTTCTGCTGCTGCCGTCCAAGCGGCAGCAGCAAACCTAGTCCCTCGAAATATATATCTGTTTACCTGCAACAATTGCTGCTGTTGTTTTGCTGCTGCTGCTGTGAAGGGTACGGACAGCGGACGACACCGCGGATGGCAGTGCAGCAGCTGCAGCAGCAGCAGCAGCAGCAGCAGCAACGGCAGCCAAAAAACTACCGTTTGTTACCTTTTTGCATTAAATATAAGTTAATATTTAGTTACAATGTCTAGGCGGCTTCTGTGTTGCTGCTGCTGCAGCAGCAGCAGCAGCAGCTGCCTCTGCTGCCGCCCTCCCCGAGAGGTCGACCGCCGCGGGAGCGGCAGGGGCAGCAGCAGCAGCAGCAGCAGCAGCAGCAGCTGCTGCTGCTGCTGAAGTTGTTTGAAGTCTCTTCAAAGTTCTTTTTACGGCCTTTCTGTAGCAGCTAACTGCAGCAGCAGCAGCAGCAGCAGCAGCAGCTGTTGTTGCTGCTGCTGCTGCAGTTGCTGCTGCCAGCGTCTTCGGGGGCCCCCCCTCGCTGCTGCAGCGTGGCGCTCTTGCCACTGAATTAGGGTTTAGGGTTTAGGGTTTGAGGCGGCTGCTAAACCCTCCTCAGCTCTTTCAATAGTTAGCTCGCGGACTCAAAGCTGAAACCCTAAACCCTAAACCCTAAACCCTAAACCTCACCTGTAAATCGTAAAATACAATACATAAATCCTGAACCCTAAACCCCCGACAAACCCTAAACCCTAAACCCTAGAACCAAGCCCTGAGTGCTAGATCTAAACCCTGAACATTGGATCTACAGCCTAAAACCCCTAAATAAACCCTTAAACCCTAAACCCTTGAAGGAAAACCGGAACCCTAAATGTAAACCCCAAACCCTAGCTACAAACCCTAAACCCTAGCTACAAACCCTAAACCCTAGGCGCCAACCCTCCACACTGGGCTGGACACTCTGGCCCTGTTGTTTTGTGCACGAAGGCTCCAAACCCTAAACCCTAAACCCTAAACCCTAAACCCTAAACCCTTGGAGCACTTCATTTTCCTGTTGCGTCTCCAAAACGAAGCGAAACTTCGACTACCGCGACAGCCCCGAAGCAGCTGCTGTTGCAGCAGCAGCTGCAGCAGCAGCAGGAGCTGCTGCTGCTGCTGCTGCTGCTGAATGGCTAAATCCACAGCAAGGCTCTTTGCTTTGGACTGCACACTGGCAGCACCCTGCTGCTGCTGCTGCTGCTGCTGCCGCTGCAGCAGCAGATGGCGCTGCTGCTGCGGCAGCAGTTGCTGCTGCTGAAGCTGCAAATGCAGCAGCAGATGATGCTGCTGCGGCGGCAGCAGCTCCTGCCGCTGCTGCTGCAGCAGCAGCTGCAGCAGCTGCTGCTGCAGCAGCACGTGCTGCTGCAGCAGGTCCTGCTGCCGCGGTGTCCCTTAACTGAATCGAGCCCACTAAACGCCTCCCAAACCCTAAACCCTAAACCCTAAACCCTGCTGGCCTGCGGAGGTGCTTCAATCGCTGCTGCTGCTGCTGCTGCTGCTGCTGCTGCTGCTGCTGTCGGGGGCTGGCGGCAGCCGCCCCTCTTCTCTGGCGATGCGGATCATCTCCGCCAATTCCTTGCGGGTTTTCTGCAGCAAAACCAAAACCCTAAACCCTAAACCCTAAACCCTAAACCCTAAACCCTCGAAGGCCAGCAAGCCCTCCACAAACCCTAAACCAAAACCCTCGCTGCTCGCTAGGGTTTAGGACTCCCCAAGTTCCGGCCTTTCTAGGGTTAAGGGTTTGCTGAACCCTTAGGGCTTGAGGTTTGCTAGGGTTTAGGGTTTAGGGTTTAGGGTTTAGGGTTTGGCCTGCCTCCTTGAGCAGGTAGTGTCTGTAGTTGTGGTGAACAGCGTCTTGCCAAATGTAGATGATGTTGGCGCCTGCCCGCAAACCCTAAACCCTAAACCCTAAACCCTAAACCCTAAACCCTAAACCTCAAAACCCGAAGCCCCAAACCCTCGCCCGCGCCGCCAACTCGACGGCCAGCCGCTACCCGCCAGCACAGAACCAGGTCTTAGGGTTTAGGGTCTAGGGTTTGCGGCCTGGGGTTTAGGGTTTGGGAACTAGGGTTTAGGGTTTAGGGTTTAGGGTTTAGGGTTTACCCTGGAAAACAGTAAAGCCAATCATCGTTGCTGCAACAACAGCATAAAGCCGATCATAGAGGCGCTCGCGGCGGATGTGGAATGCGTTGTAGCTAAACCTGCAAACAAACCCTAAACCCTAAACCCTAAACCCTAAACCCTAAACCCTAAACCCTAAACCCAGGCTGGCGAAAAGGAGGCACTGCGGCTGCGGGCTTCGCCTTACCTGTTCCAGATGAACTGAAACGGCTTGTACCTCGGGCCTGCCATTTTGCTGCTGCGAGGGTTTAGGGTTTAGGGTTTAGGGTTTAGGGTTTGGGGAGTAGGCGCGGCGCGCCCAGTGCCGATTGTCAAAACCCTAGACCCTAAACCCTCGTTTGCGGCACGCAGGAACTAAAAGTGTTCATCAGGCAGACACCAACAAGGCCTAGGGTTTAGGGTTTAGGGTTTAGGGTTTGCAGCTGCGAACAGCATCAGCGGCAGCCGCTGTAAGAGGGAAGGAGAGCCGCCGTTGTTGCTGCTGTTGCTGCTGCTGTTGCTGCTGTTGCTGCTGCTGCTGCTGCTGTTATTGCTGCTGTTGTTACAGGAAGCTGTATAGCAGGCGCCATGCCTGGGTGGATCTCCAAAAGCAGCAGCAGCAGCAGCAGCAGCAGCAGCAAGTTGGGTCTGCTGCAGCAGCAGCCTAGAAAACAGGTAAGGCTTCAAACATGAAGATGTACTCTAGATGAGCAGCCGCAGCAGCAGCAGCAGCAGCAGCAGCAGCAGCCGATGCGCCTTTTGGCGGTGCTGGAGGTCACAAGGCTGCTGCAGCAGCGGCATGCAGCAGCAGCAGCAGCGGCAGCAGCAGCTGCTGCTGTAGCAATTAGAACACGGTTTAGATAGAGGCTCCACTCCAAAGATTAATAGTAAATTTTATTCCTTATTTTGCTTTCCTGCTGCTAGTTTAGCTGCATTTGCTGTTGCTGCTGCTGCTGCTGCTGCGGCCGACCTACCTGCATGTGCAGCAGCAGCAGCAGCCACAGCGGCTGCAGCAGCAGCAGCACAGCCGAGACACGGCTAGACGGGCAGCAGCAGCGGCAGCAGCAGCAGCAAGTTTTGCAACCCACGCAAAATCTCGTTTTAGGGTTTAGGGAGCCCCCAGTAATTTCTGCTGAGTGTTTGTTGCTGCCGCTTCGCTGCAGCAGCAGCAACAGCTGCAGCGGCAGCAGCAGCAGCGGCGACAGCAGCGAGAGCAGCTGCTGCCACGCCCCGGCAGCAGCAGCAGCAGCATGCCTTTCCCAACAAATCTTTGCAGCTAACTTACCCAGTCACATTCAGGCAAATAGGCAGCAGCTGCAGCAGCAGCAGCAGCAGCAGCAGCAGCAGCAGCAGCAGCAGGTTGCTTCGCGCTGGCGTGCTGCTGGCGTGAATCCGTTCGTGTCTTTCCTTCTCCGTTGAGTGCAGCAGCAGCAGCAGCACGAGGCCAGCCAACGGAAGCAGAAGCAGCAGCAACAGCAGCAGCAAGGCCCTCGCCGTTTCGCGGTCTCATCGCAGCCGCAGCAGCAGCAGCAGCAGCCGCAGCAGCAGCAGCCGCAGCAGCAGCAGCAGCAGCTGTCCCGGCCGGGCACTGCCGGGCCCCCGAAGAGGCCAGCGTTAGGAGTCCCGCTCCGCAGCAAGAGCCGCGCGGCGCCCCGCAGCGCAGCAGCAGCAGCAGCAGCAGCAGCAGCAGCAGCAGGAGCAGCAGCAGCAGGAGGGAAGATGCTGGACGCGTCGACGTTGCGTTCGAAGCTGCAGCGGACGCTGCAGCTGGAGCTGTCTTCGTTTGGGGTGTCTGGCGCTGCAGCAGCAGGCGGTTCGGGG